TAAGAATAAACTGTTTCCATGAATGTAATATGGTGAAACATCTTAGCATCGTCTGTTTACTTTTCAGTTAACTAGATAATTCTATGTGACACGAAAATAAACTGTGCCTGGCTTACTGTTGTATTCACATGCCCATCAGCAGATCCTCGGTTGTGTGGAATACAGAAGAAGTGATAAAGATGCTACCACAGCCTTGATGTCTTTCCTTTGGAACCACAGCAGCATTACTTACCCAGGAATCTGTTAAGGAGTCTCTTCTGAGCAAGCCCTGTCAATCATTTCGTGACAGCGTCCGGCCTCATTGACCAGATGGCCTTGGTACCCGAGAACCAAGTGAGAAACACTTCCCTACTGACTGACAGACACGCCTGCATTTCAGACGATGCTGTCTCTGAAGACTATTGAATGTGTTGTAAAAACCAATAATCACATCCATCAAATATTCACAATCAGAACCCCTACATCTTTGTGGTGCCCACTGTCTCCTTTCAGATATCATCAGTCATCCCTTGAAATCAGAGAACACTTACTGAGAACATTCTTGTTAAATGAATGAAAACAAAGACAGGTATCTTTGATACTAGATTCTCTGGATCTGAAACTTCTTAGAATGCATTTGGTAGATAACTGACTATCCTAAACTTTAATGACACTGGACTGAAAAATAAATCCTTGGGATTAAAAAAGCAAGAGGGAAAAAAAAGCATACAGTCATGAACTATATGAAGATAGAACTGTGTAAGTCCATCAGCCAAGTTGATTTCAGTATCGTTTGAGGAGATAGCAGCATAAAGAACAACATGGGTTTCAGATGTCAACTAGATTTTGGTTCAAATTCCAGCACCTCCTTAACAACCTCTGTGTGAATTAAGGTAAGTAACGTAATTTCTTTCGGGACCAGTTCCATTAGCTAAATAATAGAGATAATAATACCTTCCTTATGTTATAATGTTGCTGTGAAGACCCATCAGTGCCAACTCCCATGGAAGTTTTGGCTCTGTAAATGGCAGCTCTTATTATCTTCAGCAAGAGGGTGTAGGGGCCGCATCTGAGAGGGGATTTTACTCACGTTTCTTCCACTGACACAGAGCCCCCTAAAGGCCTGGTGACCACAAATGAAGCCTTAACTCGAAGACAGTGGAGTCTTTGAAAGGAACAGAATTAAAGTAGGGTCTGTCCTTTCATGATGGGGTACAAAGACGCTATTAGTCAATTCAGCAAATATGTCCTCTGCAAATCAGCTCAAGGCATTCGGAGAGATGACTTTGAAGCAGCATGCTGATGAGGTCCAAAGGGGAGCTGAAAACTTACAAGTGTTTCTACCTGGGCCACACCATCTAGGAAATAACCCAGAAGTGTGTAAGGAATCAATTACTGCCCTCCTAGAGTTGATCTCAGCTGTCTATATATGGTTATAGATTTCCCAGACCTCTTTCAAATGAATTTTCAGAAAGTCTGTGAGCATTGCAAGTTTTGGAGCATCTAAAGAAGGGTTGCTCTCTAGGCTGTGTGCATTATTAGAGGGATGGTGAAGGATCAGGAACTCATAATATTCCATTGGTTCAAATCGTCTTTCAGTGTTTAAATTTATGTTTATTTATGACTGTGTCAGTAAGTTGTGGCACATGGATTCTTCATTGCGGTGCGGGGGCTTCTCTCTACTTGTGGCATGTGGATTCTGCAGTTTGTGGCACTTGTACTTAGATGCCCCATGGCATGTGGGATCTCAGTTCCCCAACCAGGGATTGAACCCACATCCCCTGCATTGGAAGGTAGATTCTTAACTCCTGGACCACCAGGGAAGGCCCTCTGACAATATTTAGTACATTTCTTTTTTATTGGGGAAGAGAGCATCGTTGCAGGTTACATGGCTTTGGATTTAAACAGGTAGGCTTGGGTTTTAAATTTTGATTCTGCCATATATGGACTATGTGAATTTGGGGAAGTTACTTAATTTCCCAGAGCTCAGTTTCCCCGTCAATAAACAGTAATATCCGCTTTGCTGTTTTGCTGCAAGGCTTCAATGAGCTCATACATGCCAAAGGTCCTTGCGCAGTGGTTACTCAATACATCCCAGCTCTCTTGGACACTGAGCATCATGGGGGTGAATGAGACAATCCTTTCCTTCCTCCCAGCTGAAAGCCAAGCCGGCATTGGCTTATTTAAGCATGAAAACATCAGTGTGCCCCATTTGTAAGCTTGTTTTACCCTAGGAAACTGATACGAAGGAATCGACATCTGCAATTGCTTCTGCCCAAGTGGCTGCAGCTCCCCACACAGGAGCTGGGGCGAGCGATGGGCTGCTGCTCTCAACGTAAGTTCTGGGAATTCACGCCGGTGCTCTACAGACTTCAGGCTCCACTGGGTTGGCAGTCTCTGTGTTGAACTTGGGAATCAGCCAACATCTGAACTCTAGCCTTAAGTGAGACTGGCTTCAGAGTGTCAGGCTCCTGTCTTGGGGGAAAATAGGATTTTTCTCTTGTTGGTATGGAGTGTCAGATTCTGGCTTTAATAAATTCAGTGTATGTGAAGCAATACCATCCCCCAATTTATACCTATTGTGTCTAAGTAATTAGCACCTTCTTTCATTCTCAGAGGTGACCCACTTCAGATAACAAATTATGTAGACATAACCATACTCATAGAAATGCAAGTGAAAGCAACGTGGCTGGGCATGATTCAAGGGCCATGAGAAATGAAAAAAATAAGTTTTAGGGAATTAAAATTTGATTTTCAACACTGAGGAATTAGAGCTACCAGCATATGAAAGTTTGAGAGAAAGAGAGAGTGTGTGTGTGTGTGTGTGTGTGTGTTCAGGGGAAGGGAAAAGGTGGTGTGCCAGTAGATGTTTAACCACCAGCTCCCAGGGTGTTGGTGCCCCGATTTGTGGTGTTTCCTGATTTCCATGGTGTAAATACTATGATCATGGATGGTTTCATGCTACAGATGTGATGTTACTGAACACAGGAGTAAGAAAGAGACATGCACAGTAAGTTCTCATGAGCTGGCATGAGCTGGCTCCCACGCACCAATGGAAAATGGGGATTTAACATGAACTTTGAATACTTCTGTGATGTTTCACTTTTTACAATATTCATGTATAACTTTCATAATAACAGATCCTGCATGTATGTAATATATGTACATGATATATATATACACACACACTCATGAGACATAAATACACACACGAACTTATATATTGGGTTGGCTAAAAAAATTTGTTCGGGTTTTTCTATAAGATCGTACCAAAAACCTGAACAATTTTTTTGGTCAACCCAACATATCTGTGTGAGGGTTGGTCCTAACAGTCTTCCTAAAGTTTTTAGTAAATTTGAGTGAATGCACTTGAGTGTCTAATACACTGAGGGGCTTTCATAAATCCGGCTGCCGCAGGGTTTCATAATTTCATAATTGTCATAAACTGCCATGATTTACCTTGCTAGCCCACATCTGGTACCTAAAACACCTGGCTTCCATGTTGTGATGGAAGCTAAATGGACAGTGGGAAACTGCTTTGAGGACGCGAGTGTGAAATGAGATCTAACCTCAGGTAGGGAGAAAAAGCAGTTCAAGTTCAAATGACGAGCGAACACAACGGGAGGACAGAAGTGTAAAGTTGCCGTTTATCGACTTTGCTCTCTAGACTGAAGTGTTTCTGGCAGGTCCTTAGGAGAGTGGAAGGGGAGTGAGGAAGAAACAGTCTGTACTTTCATTTATTGATGCAGCGCCTGCTGGTCACACTGCAACTCGATACAGACAGCCCGGCAGAGAGTGGGGCCCTGACTCTTGTTCTCATCAATGTAAACACAACATTAATATTGAAGATTCAAGAAAATGGGTAAAAAGTCCAGTGTCCCGTCAGTCTGTGTGATGGTGAAGGTGCTGGCCTACCCTTGGATGGGTCCCCAAGGGAGCCTGAGGTCATGACCTTGGCCCAGCCGCAGCAGAGCAGACATGATCACAGAGGAGCCCCATACATTCTTCCCAAAGTTCTCCCAACGGGCTCATGAATCTTCAGGACTGAATAATGAAAGTTCTTCTAAAGGCCTGAGAGGTTCGTACCCTTCGTGTGCACAGAAACCATCCATTTAAAGCCATGTCCCCATGACTCATCACTGCCCAAAGGAAACGAGACCATCTGTACAGTAGCTGGTCTGTGCACTTCCACAGTCCTCTGTAGTCCCTGGATTCTGAACAGTTGGAAATTTAATGTCACGGGGCCTTGAGGACCATCCTGAAGAAGGCTACCCATGTTTAAATACTGGTTGAAGACTCCTGTCTTCTTGGTTGAGCCACTGCTGATCGAGGGATGTTAGTTGAGGCAGCTGGTTTCCTTCGGAGCCTTAGAGGATCAGGTTTTTTTTTGGGGGGGGATTCTCAGACTCAAAACAAACAAACAAACCCCCCCAAAACAAAACAAGAGTGACCTTGAGGATAAGGAGCCAACCAATCCCTACCTCCAGATCCTGTCAAGTACAGTGTCCCCATTGGGTTTCCCCAAATAGCTGGTTCAATCATTGGCATGTCCTCCTTTTGGATACACGGTTAAACTGTAGGGCGAAGAAGAAAGTTTTCTCTGATAAAGAGACATTTTTGCTTTTATTTCCTGGGATGGATAACTCCCAGCACCCTGCCTTCCCTTTAAAAAAAAGAAAAAGGAAAAAAAGCAATGAAAACATCCCAAAGACCGGGTTGTGTGGCTTTGTGGAAGGATAGCCCATTTGCTCCCTCTCACCCTCCATGTCCTATTCTTGGAGAGACTGCGTAGATGAGTGATTTCCCCTGCTCTGGGAATGATGGATCATGGGCCAGAGCAGGGTTGGCCAGATCCTTGTCCTAGATCTCCATAATGAGGGCAGCTTAGTTGGGCCAAAGAGACAAATAAAAACAAACCAAAACAGTGATGCTCAATTTGAGTTTGAAGGCTGGGCCCCAAACAGCAAGTGGCTCTCCACCCCCCTGCAGAACGTCCGTTGCTCGTGGTGGGCTCCCTGGTGCTAGCTGTTGTTCTCGGCCGTGAGATATTTGAGGGCAGCAAAGCCGTAGCGGCGGGACATGTCCTGCTGAAACTCTTCCTTTAGGGTTTTGAGACAGATGCGGTATTGCTTGTTGGACCGGAACTTGGTGATGTCGAAGCTGGGGGCGTGAGGCATGTGGATCATGTACGCATTGGGCAGCACGATGAATTCATACTCCTGGAAGCAGACAAGAGCAGACTGAGGCCTGCAGAGTCACACCGTGATGTATAATGAACACCCAGGCAGACAGCTACTTGACGAAACAAGGGAATGAAGTCGTGAATGATGCCAGTACCAGGGCAGCACCATGGACAGCGTCACCATGCAGATGAGCGCAGTTAGTTCAAGGTTGTCTCCATGACCCTGGGTGTATTACCTGGCTTCTCTGAGCCTTAGTTTTCTCATCTATAAAGTGAAAGTAATACGACTACCTTGAGACTACTACAGTCTACAGTAGTACAGACACACCTATAGTAGTACTACACACCTATAGTATACAGTCTATATAACTGGACTACGAAGGCAGAATTGAGGAGCTCAAAAAGAAACTTACCGGTCCCACAAATCCCCCTAAATTTACTACCTGGTCCTTTGGAGAAAAGCTCTGCAGACCTCTGGTTTAAACTATTAGGATTCTGTAGGATATTTTTTTTGAGGCAGGTGCTCAATAAGTATTAGCTGAATGAATGAAAGGGTTTCATGATTAAACACCTTCTGAAAATCACTCCTTTAGTTACAGGGTAGAATAGCTGCACCTTATTTGCAAGTTTTGTATCATTTCTATGGAATTCCTAGAATGCTTTGTGTCAGTTATATGACTCACAGGCTGAGTGATAAATGGTCATCATTTACTCATCTTCATCACTTGGTTGAATGAGGATGAGGGGGTGAAATGGTTTGTTCCAGGACACTCAGATATGCTGGGGACCTGGTGGAGAACCCAACTCTCATCCAAGGGAGGAGAAAGAAAAATGAATTAGGAATCAACAGAGCTGAGAACAAGTACTGTCACATTCTTACTCTAGGATCCCGAACACATCTTGTTCCTTCTTGAGTCCCTGCCTTCTTATCTCCAAGGCCCTTGCAGCTCTGAGGTTCAGGCCTCCCCTCCCCTCCCCCTCCCCCTCACCCCCACAATACTGGGGACATAACATTCTACTCTTCTCACCTGGGCATCTAATTCCATGATGTGAGCCACCTTGTTCCAGCCAAAGCCCACAAACCTTCGGTCATACTCAGGGCAGTCCCGTCTCACAACAACATACGGCTCGAAATCGGCCTCCCACTCAACCTGGTAAGGCGTGGTGGCAGTCCGCCACTTGGCGAAGTTTGTGGGTGCGTGGCCTTTCGTCCAGACATGGTACCTGGGACACATGGAGAAAAGCCATTGGTGGAGGAGAAGGAAGCATAGGTTTCCAAATTCTGGTCTGGAGGATGAAGACATATATGCTGACATAGTCCTAGTTGTAGGTTGAATTTTTGTCTGCATTCCTCTCCTTCCCTCCTGCCCCGGCAGAAGCTATGTTCAAGTCCTGACCCCTAGTATCCGTGAATGCAACCTATTTGGAGAGAAGATCTTTGCAGATGTGATCAAGTTAAGAGGAGGTCACAGTGGATGGTTGTGGTCTCTAATCCAAAGTTCTTACAAGAGGAGGAAATTTTGGACACAGAGATATGCAGGAGGAACTCCATGTGAAGATGTGGGCAGAGACAAAGTGAGACACCTACAAGCCAAGGAATGCCAAGGATTGCTGGCAACCACCAGAAACTAGAAAGAGGCAAGAGAGACATCTGCCCTCGAGCCTTTGGAGGAAGCAAGGAACTACCAACAACACCTCGATTTTGGACTTCTGGTTTGCAGAATGGTGAGGATAAGTTTCGGTCATTTTAAGCCATTCAGTTTGTAGTACTTTGCTATAGCAACGAAAGTAAAAGTCGCTCTGTCGTGTCTGACTCTCTGCGACCACATGGACTATACAGACCATAGAATTCTCCAGGCCAGAACACTGGAGTGGGTAGCTGTTCCCTTCTCCAGGGGATCTTCCTGACCCAGGAATTGAATCAGGGTCTCCTGCATTGCAGGCGGATTCTTTACCAGTTTAGCTACCAGGGAAGCCCTATAGCAACAGAGACAGCCTCTTGCATATTTCTTTAGCATTAGAGTGGTTGAGCAGCCGACCAAGATCATGTAATTAATGTTGGAATGTATTTTTCCTGAATTCCTAGTTTTTTTTCCTACCCTTGTGCTCATGTACTCCGTTGTGTCTGATTCTTTGAGCTCCCATGGACTGTAGTCCGCCAGGCTCCCCTGTCCCTGGGATTTTCCAGGCAGGAATGGTGGAGTGGGTTGCCATGTCCTTCTCCAGCAAATCTTCAAGACACAGAGATCAAACCTGTGTCTCCTGCATTGCACACAGATTCTTCACTGCTGTGCCACTGGGGAAGCCCCTTGGGTTGGCCAAAAAGTGTGTTCAGGGATTTCCATAACATCTTAAGGAAAACCGTGAATGAACTTTTTGGCCAATCCAATACATCCTTCACTAATGAAGAGGTACATGACTTTCTGGATTGCTGTCTGTCATTTATTTGGAACTGCAGGCTAGTCTGTAACAGGAAGTGGAAGGCAGAAATCTGGGATAACTTTTGGTGACCCTGCCCTAGTATAGTGTCTTTCCTCTTGAGGCAGGACCTATGAGCATGACATCACTCCTGCAATTATGTTACATTATACGGCAAAAAGGATTTTTGTAGATGCAATTATGGTTACTAATCAGTTGACTTGAGACTACTGGGGTGGGCCTGACCTAATCATATGAACCTTTAGATCTGGGTTTGGAAGAAAGCAAAAAGCCATGTGTGAGCTGCCTATGGGGGTCATGTGGCAAAAAGCCTGTGGGTAAATGGTGACCTCAGTCTTCCAATCACAAGGAAAGGAATCCTGTCAGCAACCAGTGTGCCTGGAGAAGAACCACACACTCTAGAGACAACTGCAGCCTCGCCCACACTGATTTCAGCCAAATGAGAACCATAAGCAGAGAATCCAGTCATTCCATGCCTGGACCTCTGATCCTCAGAAAATGACTGTGAGATAATAAATTTGTATTGTTTTGAGATTCTAAACTTGTGGTAATTTGTTATATAGCAATAGAAATGAATATAACTATGGATGGCACTAGTGGTAAAGAACCCACCTGCCAATGCAGAAGACATAAGAGATGCAGGTTCAATCCCTGGGTCGGGAAGATCCCCTGGAGGAGGAAATGGCACCACACTCCAGTATTCTTGCCTAGAGAATCCTATGGACAGAGGAGCCTGGAAGCCTATGGTCCATAAGGGCACGAAGAGTTGGACATAACTTAGCAACTGAACAACAACAATAATAATAAGCTCTAGTAAGCACTTAACTCTAAACTGGTTATATTGTACTACCCATAATTGTAAGTTCTCATAATATACCCAATATCAAGTTACAAATAGCAATAGATAGATCAGGGATTCATACCTAGGCAGCCTGATTCAAGGGATAGGAACTTTAATCAGGTTAAGGTCTAAGTTAACTATGCTGAGTTACCTCTTTTTATATGTCACTGTCACCACACACTCTGGCCTGTATCTAGAACAAGCAGTCAATGGGGGCTATACACTAATGAATGTTTCATTGAATGAATGAAAGAGAAATCTAAAAACCTGAGAGGCACCTAAGACAGAAGCCAGTTAGTGGGGCAGGAATATGTCTCTGGATGCTAAAAGAGATGGGGGCTGAGAGCCAGTGAAGCAGCAGATGGGGCCCAAGAAAAAGAAAATTCTAGAAAGAAAAGCTTCAGAAAATGCCCCAAGAAACCTACTGTCACACCAGTGGTCTCTAGAACTTGCTTTCTAAGACCATCAACATTAGCCTCCAAAAAAAAAAAAAAAAAACCAAACAGTGATGAGAGACATTTCCTGGGTCCACCTTGTGGGATGCTGCTTAGAAGAAATTCGGGGCACTCTGTGTTGAGCAGAGGTTCTCCAGCTGGCATGGTTATCAGAATGCCCTGGAGGGTTACTTAACTGTCAGATTGCTGTATTCCACTCCCAGAGTTTCTGATCCAGTAGGGCTGGGGTGGGGCTTGAGACTTGGTGCTTCTAACAAGTTCCCAGGGGGTGCTGATGCTACTGGTCCAGGGACCATGCTCAGAACTGTTCTCCTGGAGGACAGGTAGACCTGAGCATGACTTATTAGTTCAGGTGCTGTTGGGAGGAGATTTCAGCTGCTAGGAGGTGTAAGAGTTCATCATTTGGAGGGAAGGTGACAAAGCAGGTTCTTGGAGGGAAGGTCTGTAATTCAGCTCTTAGCATGCTGGCTTGCAAGCTCTTGGCCAGAGCAGCAATCTTGGACACAGCAGGCCAACCCCCAGCTCTCAGGCCCTTGTCCTTGGCCTTGAAATGAGTTCTTAAATAACCTGGGGATCTGGAAGGAGGGCTGCTTTGGAGACTGGCCAGGTGATCAGCCTTTGGGATGACCACCTGGAGTAGGAAATGGCAACCCACTTCTGTACTCTTGCCTGAAAAATCCCATGGACAGAGGAACCTGGAGGACTGCAGTCCATGGGGTCTCAGAGTCGGGCACCACTGAGTGAGCACACACACAGCCACTAGGCTATGGAGTCCAAAGCCTCCACTTCTGCCTGCATTTTCAGACGCTGGTAAGTAAATTCAGGACTTGACTGGTGGTCTGATGGTATTTTGGTTAAGAGCCTAGGCTCTGTGGTTCTTAGACCTGGGCTGAATCCAGGCTCTGTCATGTACTGGCTGTGTGGCTTGGGCTAGTTATGGAGCCTCTCAGAGCCTCAAGTTTCTCTATCTGTAAAACAGGGACAGCATGTCTGCCTCATGGATTTGTTGTGAGGGTTAGATGAGCTGATCCCAGTGCCTAGCTCATGGTTTGTTGTTCAGTTGCTAAGTTATGTCCAACTCTTTGTGACCCCATAGACTGCAGCACACCAGGCTTCCTTGTCCTTCACTCCACTCCTCAATTCCTTTATCTGTATGAGAGGTGAAAAGGGAGCTCCTCTGAATTATTGCATGAATAACCTATCTCATAAAGTTATCTTCACAAAATAATGCCTGCTTGAGAAAACTTTCTAGAAACTTCTAGTAACTTAACAGTGGTATACAAACCTAAGTTATTATTAGGATCTTTTCAGCAAAATTCAGATTGCGTAGAAATGTATGTTTTTTGGGGGCTTCCCAGGTAGTGCTGGTGGTAAAGAACCCACCTGCCAGTGTAGGAGACATAAGAGGCGTGGGTTCGATCCCTGGGTTGGGAAGATCCCCTGGAGGAGGACATGGCAAATGACTCCAGCATTTTTTCCTGGAGAATTCCCACGGACAGAGGAGCCTGGCAGGCTACAGTCCATATGGTTGTGAAGAGTTGGATACGACTAAAGTGACTGAGCACACACGTGGGTTTTTTTGTTGTTTTAGTTCAAAGGAAGTGTTTATACTGTTTAAAAGGGAGGCCTTTCTTTAAAATGGGAGCAGAGGGCAGGCACGGCTCTCTCTTACAATCAGGAGACTGAGCAGGATTCCTGCTCACCCAGGGGTGCTCCCCTTAATGGTGCCGTGTGTCCCTGGGGACAGAAGCCATCTGCATCTGTGCCACTGTGCAGATTCCCTGGCCCTTTGGACAGGGGGACGGGTAGCTTCTCTGCTATGTTTCTGCAGGACTGAGGGGTCTAGGAAGCCAGGGAAATGAGGGATTTGTTTGAACCTGTCACTCGGGCAACAGGACAGACAGCTGCCACACTGCTGTATCCAATCTTGGAGTCACCTGGATGCCTTCAGCTGTTGAAGCTACTTCTGCTGCCCATCCCAGGCCTGAGGACCTCAGAGAACAGACCGCTCACAAGAAAAGAAGACGAGAGATGGCCACCGTGGCCCTAATGTGACGAAACCCACTGATCAAACAAGTGAATGGGCGAGCAAACCAAGAGGAGAAGTCAGTCAGCAGACGGGGCAGAACATCAACTGATTAAAGTGGAGAAGAAAGCAGCTGACACCCTACCCCCTTCCTGTCCCTTCCATCTGGGTACACAGGGCGAACTCTCTCTCCCACTGGTAAGTCGTGTCTGACTCTTTCCTGACCCCATGGACTGTAGCCCACCAGGGTCCTCTGTCCATGGGATTTCCCAGGCAAGAATACTGGAGTGGGTTACCATTTCCTCCTCCAAGGCATCTTCCCACCGAGGGATGGAACCCAGGTCTCAGGCACTGGCAGGTGATTCTTTACCACTGAGCCACCAGCAAAGCCCTACAGGTCAGTCACACCAAAAGTGCACGGCACGTGGGAAGAGAAAGTTATTCCAAGCACAGTTTGGGGCCAGCGGTGCTGCTTTGGCCTGAAGATGGTCTAATGCCAGTGACAACCATCGGGGCCAGCAGCTCCTCTGGCTTCTGGTTTCCCAGGAGCGACAAGGACTTCGGGCTCCCCCTCTCCCAGGGGGTGGCAGTGAGGGCCACTCACCTGAACGTGAAGAGGGTCCCCATGTCTAGCATCGAGAGCAGCTCTGCCTTCGACTTGGGGAAGGAGAGCCGGTAGCGCAGTGTCTCGAACGCGGGGACGATCATGGCCTTCTTGGTGTTGGCGAGGTCCAGCTGGATGACAGACTTCCTGGAGAGAGGGCAGGCAGAGAGATGGGGCCCGAGTAATGCCAGGGGTAGAGACTGCCCCCAGGCGAGGGTGTGGAGGGGGCTGGCACAAGGAGGGGTCGGAGAAAGCCAGGGGCAGCCTCTCAGTTTAAACAAAAGGGAATCTGAGACCTGGGGGAGGCCTGGAAGCTTGTCCAGCAGTACTCAGGAGCCTGGCTGTCTCTGGGCCAGGAGGCAGAGTCTTTCTGGAGACGGAGCAGAGGGGCTGGGGACCCCCACCCCTCACGTTCGCAGTGTGTGCCCCTGTCAAAGCCAAGAGACCAGCATTCACAAGGTGTGGAGACCAGCCTGCTTGCTGGGTCCCCTGGGCTGGCCACAAGCCTGATGCATCACTGGCCAAAGGAGGGCTGGACGTAATGCTGATGAGATGATCGCCAACCTGGGCATCTGTGGTCCCATCTCTGGGACTCTCCACTCCTTCAGATGCTAAGCCTTCAAACTCACCTGACAGACCCCACAGAGTCAGCACCCAACATGCCAGAGCCCTGGACCCTGCCATCCTCTCCCTCCCTCCTGCCTTCTGCACCTCTAAGACCTAGCTCCTGTCTTCTGGATTTGCCTGCCTGGGGCCGGCTCTGAGGCCATCATTTGAAAGAGAGAAAGGTCACGGCTCATGAGACTGGTAATGAACCACAGATAGGACTTAAAAGCCTGGCTCTTCACTTTAGGTGTCTGGCCATATTTTACAAGTAATTCAGTTTCTCATGACCTCAGGTTCCTCTTCAAAATGGGGCAATAATATCTCCCTGCTGAGCTGCTGTGGAAACTGGACAAGGTACCAGAAATACCAGTACTGTCAGGCGTACCGGGCACATGGCGAAGAGTCCCTATTATACTGCAGTGCTGTCCTATTCCCAGGCATCTCTTTGGCCATGGCTGTGATACTTCAAGCTGGCTTCTTGCTCAGATTACTGACCCTTGGGCCTCAGGCCAGCCTGAGGTGCTTGTGACCTCTGAGACAGAGAAAGAAGTCTCTCTTGGAGTAACACGAGGTATTTTGCAAAAATGCTGCAAGAAGCAGTCCTCTAGTGCAATACAACTGCTTCTTACTTAAAGTAACTTTATGCAGTAGACCTCTGAGCCTGTGTGTGCAGGACAGGTTGGTCTGCAAGGAGCAGTCACACTGTAAGGAAGTAACTTGTGAGCCCAGACTAGCATGGGACACGAACAGAGAAGCAATCCAAAAAAGAAGAGCAGCAGGGTTTGGTAGCCACAAATGAGGGGGAATCTGGACCAGGTCAAGATAAGGAGGGGTTTCTCAGAACCACTCTTGGTGAAGGGGTCTCACCAGCTCCCAGTGCAAGAGGGTGGTTGAGATGGACTGGGAGTTGACATGAGAATTATTCAAGTATCATTTGCAGTTCACTCCATAATTATGCTTCAGTTAACTATATACCAAATGATATATGACCCTCACATCACTATTTCAAGACAGATTTGTAAAGGATGACACCAAGATAGAATTTGGTGAGCTACCCTTGGCCGGTTAGAGGATCAGAGGTCTGAGTTAGCTTGTTCTGGCCTGCATTCCTCATCTTTCTCCAAGCAATGCCTTTATACAAACACCTAAGGTTCCCTGGCCTGTGGCCAGACATTCTTTTTGATATCAACCTTACACTGGACATTGGCAGCCCGGGGGCTTGTTACCTTTCCTCCAGGAAAGGTACACTGTTGATGATGAATTGCTAAGTTGTGTCTGACGCTTTGTGACCCCATAGGCTGTAGCACACCAGGCTCCTCTGTCCATGGGATTTCTCAGGCAAGAATACTGGAGAGGGTTGCCATTTCCTTCTCCAGGGAATCTTCCCTACCCAGGAATTGAATGCTCATCCCTTGCTTGGCAGATGGATCCTTTACCACTGAGCAACCTGGGAAAGGCATGCATCTTATTTATTGACATGGGTGTTAGGGATGGGACATATGGGTCTAAAGAATATCCTTGGATCAAAATGGCAAAGCCCCTGGAGGGAGGGAAGATATCCCAGCACTGCTGGGTGGTTGCTATTCCTTCAACAGTCACCATGCATTTACTCTGCTTGGAAATACAGACCACCACCTCCAAAGTCTCTTCCTGCCTGATGCTGACGTTCTCATCTAAAATGTTTCAGGATGCTAAAAGCCCAAGGACAAGGATCGCTAAACTAGGACTCAAGATTGCATTTGCAGTAATTTTGTGAAGATATGATTGCTGTGGAAATGGAGTGGGAGGCTGGGAGGGCTGAATGACAAAGGGAATGGTGAAGTGTACACACACACACAACAGTTACAGAGATCTATGAATGTGGGTATCTCTATATAAACCTCACATAGTTGTTACAATCAAGGTTATTATAGAACCTACTTCTTTAAAAATTAAAAAAAAGTTTTTATTTATTTGACTGTGCCGGGTCTTAGTTGAGGCATGTAGGATCTTTGATCTTTGTTGCTGCATGTGAGATCTAGTTCCCTGACCAGAGATCGAACTCAGACTCCCAGCACTGGGGGCATGGAGCTTTAGCCACGGGGCCACCAGGGAAATCTCTAGAAGCCACTTCTTGGAATAGAGGATAATTCCCCTTCTCATGGCCCCTGTACACAGGGGCAGCCCTGAGCCGTGGTGCCCCACGTGAAGCCCTGACCAGGTGTTCACAGGCAGACACTAGGGCTGAGCAAATCAGTTTCTCTTGGAAATCTGAACAGATGCAGAGGCTGGAGACCACAGAGCTCACTTGTGCACCAGGCAGCACTCCGGAGGTTTCTGAATTTCTGCTGCACAGGGGCCCAGAGCTGCCATGGGTTACTTATGGTCTCAAGTACTAGTTTTCTGAATCCTACTTTGATTCCATAAGATAAACCACTCAGCAATTATGCTTCCCCTTTGATTTCTTTTCATTTTAATTAAGCGTCCAGCATTGGTTTCTGTTGCTTGCGACCAAACAACCAATACACTGCAAGGTCCAGAGTAAGCAGACCCAGTCACCAGCATGCTGCCCAAAACTTGAGTCCTAAGAAACCTTATTTCCCTCTGCATAGAGAGCATGAGATTCTGGAGTGTTCTGTAAATTCCATTTAATCTCGCTGAAACACGAAGCGCCACGGAGACGGATTTGTCACTAGATAGGTTCGTTTCAACCTCAGTTCAAGGAGGCTTTGATATCGATGTCCTGAATGGTTCTTATTAAGAAGTTGTTTCAGCAGCAAAGTGGTTTCAGGGCACCGACTCTGAGAATATCTGTTCCCTGAGCTGGTAACGGCAGCCTGGGCTTTCCTGCACTAGTGTGTCCAGCCAGCGCCTCCCAGCTTGGCTGGCCTGCTGACCACCTTGAGTGGCACGGTCCACGGCCACTCTTACTAGCAAGTGAACCCAGGAGGGGACAGAGTGTCTCCAGGGCAGGTTCTTCCAGGAGCAGAGGGAGGACGGTGAAGGGGGAAGGCTGGCCCAGGGGCCAAGAGACCTGCGTCCTGGAGCCAGCTCTGACAGGCTGAACGGCTCTGGAGCCCGTCATTCATCTCTCTGAGACTAGTTAATCTGGAGTATTCAAACTGATGATTTTTTAAAAACAATATTTTTACTTATTTGGCTTCACCCAGTCTTAGTTGTGGCACGCACAGGCTCTCTGATTTTCTTGTGGCACGTGGAATCTTTACTTGCAGCATGTGGGATTTAGTTCCCTGACCAGGTATCGGACCCGGAGCCCCTGCACTGGGAGCATGGAGTCCTAGCCACTGGACCACCAAGGGGAGCCCCTCAGCTGAAGATTCTGGAAGGCAGTCTGGTATGGTAGTAACTAGGCAACTTGGTTTCGGCCCTGACTCCATCACTCCTCGTGGGCAAGTCACCTGGGCCCTTCTGAGTCTCAGGGTTCATGCATATGTAAAACATTCTGATGGGAAAAGGTACACGTTGCATACAGAAATGCTCGGTGCAGTGTCTGGCACGTACTAGGCACTGACTACTTGATGGTGGCCGCTCCTGATGGTTTGTTTATGTGTCAATTAGGCTAGGCTGTGGTGCCCAGCTGGTTGGTCAAATACTCCTCCAGATGTTGCTGTGAAGGTATCTCATGGATGTGATTAACATTTAGGATCAAGTAAAAACCCTTACCCTTGATAATGTGGGTGGGCCTTGTCCCATCAGTTGAAGGCCTTAAGTAAAGCAAAACTTCAGCATTACTGGGAAAGAAGGTATTCTACCCCAAAACTGTAACACAGGAATCCTGCCTGTGTGTCCAGCCTGCTGGTCTGCTCTATGAATTTCATACTTGCCACCATCATAGTTCCTTAAAGTCACTATCTAGCCATCTAATCATCCTATGGTTCTGGTTCTCTGAAAAATCCTGACTAGCCACTTGCCCTTGTCCACGACCCCTTCGAAAATATTCACAAGCCTACTAGAATATTTCAGGCATGCAGAACTCCTAGAAGGCACCTTAGTTATCTACAGCAGTAATTCAGAATCCTGCTGGTGTAACAGAGCACCTGGTAAACACAGTGACTTGGAAGCAGCCAGCACCAGATTCAGGTCTTGCCTGTCACCCTCCTGTGACCTTGGGGACCTTGTAGTCACAGCCTTCCCATCTGTAAAATGGACATGATGTTCTTATCAATCGGAACTGCTGTGAGGATGAAGTGAAACCATCGCTCTAGAGACACTCTAGAATAACTGAGGAAGCTTCCTGGTGCTTAAAATGACCAAACTCCAAGACTGATCCTGATAGTTGACTGTGTATACCGCCCCCCATACCCACACCCCTTCTCTTTATAACCCCATCCTCCATCCTAGAGGCAGGCCTCTGTCATCAGGAAAACAGTCCAGGTTTCTGACACGAGGAGATGATGGGAAAGAGTCTCAGAGAAATAAGAAACAGGGATACATTGTGGGTTCTAATGCAGTAAAAATGAGGGCTCTGAGGCTGGGGGCTCAGGTTTGCATCCCAGCTGATTACTTAACGTCTTTGACCTGTGGTTTCCGTCTGTAAGATG